GTCTCTTTGAGCCACTGGATTTTGGCACCGGCCATGGCGAGCTGCGTGAAGAGCTTGTCGGCCTCTGTCCGCGTGATGCCCTCGGGCAGGTCCGTCACCTCCAGCACCCGGCCCAACACTGCAGTGGGAAGACAGCACGTGGTAGCTGGGGGGCTCCGCACCAGCTCTGGGGCTGAAGCAGTCACCTCTGTTGTTCTAAGCTGCCCCCACCTTTCTGCTTCCTGCAGTGCCCCATCCTGACCCTTTTTATGCCCACATCCCAGTCTCCACATGCTTCAAGATGAGGCTGCGTTTCCCATTTGCTCCAGCAACACCAAGTCCTCCTTGCTTCCTCTGCCTGGGCACGGCTTTCCAGCCAGGGTGCTCTGCCCCAGCTTCCTACCCTAACCCTTGGGTACCAGGATTGGGAGCTAACCCACCTCTCCTGCCCTCTGTCCCTGGAAGGGAAAAAGAAAGGCTACACGCATGGAGGAGTGGTGTGGATCCCGAGTGTGACCCTGCTCTGCGTGCTCAGCCCACGGACAGATCCCCTTGTGTGCCCAGGCCAGTGTCATGCCAACCTCTTTGCCTCCGCTCTGTGGTACCCAAACATTTCTGCTGCCTCTTGGCTCCAGCCTTGGCTTTTGGGCTTAGCAGAGGGCTGGCTGAATGGATTCTTTGCTAATATTAACGTGGCATGTAATGAACATGCCAGCCGCAGGGAGAGGGGCAGCTCTTAAAGGGCTCTCTGCAACCAGCTGCTGCTGCTGGTGGTGGTGACATGGAGGTGACACAGGGGACAAGTCTGAAGCCCACACAGAACCAGTGAAGACTGAATCCCTTCCGTGCTGGTGGGTGGAGAGATGGCATCTGGGGTCTCTGCCAATGCCAGCTATGCCGTGCAGGGGGGACTGCTTGAGGAGGGTCACTTGCCTACATCGCTTGTCCCGAGGTCAGTGGATGCTGACTTGAGGGCCTGCCTCTTGCTCCGGTTTCCGTGTTTCATTCCAGTCTGCCCCTTAAAGAACAAAACCAGTAATGTGTCACCTGAGGAGACACTGTGGCCTCGCAGCACCCACAGAGCACCCTGGGGAGGCTAAACTTGACCAGGCCATCACTGTGACGGGGGATGAAGACACCAGGATGAACCTCGCACCCTGGGCACCTTTGATGTGGCACCATGCTTGGGTGAGAGGAAGCAAAGCCATGCTCCCAGGACACTCAAAGGACTTGGGGCTGATGCTGCTTCTGGGTAAAGCTGGGAGCAGTGCCAGGCTCTAGGGAAATCCATGGACAATGGCAGCTCTATTGGCTGGATGGCAAGAGTGTGGGGTAGGCACTACCTAACCGAGGGGTGCCCAAGCACAGGGGAGGCAAAGCGGTGGTCTTGTTCTGCTCGCTGGCCCATGAAAGGGTAGCTGGGTGCAGGTTTGGCCTGATTTTACCTGGTGTGCATTGTAGTTGGGCTGGTTGTGGAGCAGTGGTGGGGGACAGATAGACAGGTTATACTGCAGCGGCTGGCCCAGCAACGAGTAGCGCCCGTCACCTGCAATTGGGAAGCAAATGTTTGGGGGGGTCTAAAGGAACCCCAGGAAAGCCCCAGCTCTGTGCTGACCCCTTACCTTGTGCAGGGCCCATAGGCCGGGGGAACTGCGTGAGGACAGGGAGGGGGCTCAGCCCCGTGCAGACACTGTTGAGGTTGGTGACAGGCGACGGCGTCGGGGACTGGGTTGGGGATGTGATGGGGCTGTTCAGTTGGGTGCTGGCCTGGGGGAGGGAGAGCGTTAGACAGCGCCTGTGACGGGTCCCTCTCCTGCCTCACCACCACGGGGTGATCCCACCCCCATCTCCCAGCCCATCCAGACGGCACGGATGCTGGGGTCCTCTCTGTCCCGCCAGGCTGCTCCTGAAAGAGGAGCTGCCTTCCTCCCAGTCCTCTCAATACCTGAGCACTGGTGTCTGGGTTGTACAGGTCTCCTGGCTTCTGCCCCCGCTGGTCCAGGCTGTAGTACTTACAGTGGCTCCACTGCACCACAGGTGGATTCTGGGGGGCCTGGGGGCCATTGGGAACATTCAGCTGCATCACAACCACGCCAGGGCCTGATGGAGACACCCCTGTGGAGAGACAACAGCACCTCTATTGCCCAGGCTCTGTGCACTGCAGCTCCTGCTCGCTGTGGGACAAGAGGCACCCAGCCTGTGAGCACAATACAGCTCCAGTATCCTGGTTCCAGCTCTTGCACCAACTCACCAGGCCCCAGCCAGCCAGGGACGTAACACTGAACCCCAACTCCTCTCATCCTCTGCTCCCTGGTCCCAGGTGCTGTCTTAGTGACACTAAGCCACGTTGCCAGTAGATGGGGTCTGCAGCCCACAGCAGCTCCCTCTGCCTACTCCTACCTGCCCATATGGCAAGGAGATGCCTGGCCAGCATCAGCCGCTGTGCCATGTTCTGGAGATCCCCAGTGGGCCATGGGATGGGTGAGACTAAGGAAACCCGTTGCACAGAAGCTGTCAGACTTCACAGAACCACAGACAGGTTTGTGTTGGAAGGGCCTTAAAGCTCCTCCAGCTCCAACCCCTGCCCCGGGCAGGGACACCTTCCACTAGAGCAGGTTGCTCCAAGCCCCTGTGTCCAACCTGGCCTTGAACACTGCCAGGGATGGGGCAGCCACAGCTTCTCTGGGCACCCTGTGCCAGCGCCTCAGCACCCTCCCAGGGAAGAGCTTCTGCCTCAGAGCTCATCTCGATCTCCCCTCTGGCAGGTTCAAGCCATTCCCCTTGTCCTGTCCCTACATTCCTTGTCCAAAGCCCCTCTCCAGGTTTCTTGTAGGCCTCCTTTAGACACTGGAAGGCTTGGAGACTTGGCTTGGAATCAGCAGCTCTGTTCACTGCAGCCCTGCAAAACCTGCCAACACTGACCAGTGAATACTCTTACCTGAATACTGCTGCTGCATCTGTGGTGGGCTGCAGGGTGATGGGGACTGTGGCATCTGGTACTGTTCAGAGCCAGGAGGCTGAAGGAACCCCACTGAAGGGCTGTGAAGCAGAGAGTGCTCTGGTGAGGTGCTGGGAGCTAGGACTGGGCAAGCTCAAGAGGTGCTCAGCAGCTGTGGTGCCCAGCCACCTCCTCAAACTGCAGGAGCAGGATGCTGTGCCCTGTCCCTGGGGCAGCAGGACCCTTTTCTCCCCAGGAGCAGGTCAGGCATACAGAAGCTTTACCTGGTGCCATTCTGCTGGGCAGTTGGGATGACGCTGTAGTAGATGGGCACCCCCCCAGTCTGAAGGCCCCCCTGAACAGACTGGCTGGCTGGTACAAGCACTGGCTGCTGGAAGGGCTGCTGGACCACACTCTGGGACTCACTGGCCATGGGAACCTGTGCAGGGAGGAAAGCAGCAGCACTACGTAATAACATGGAGCAGAAGCAGGGAGAACTGGTCCCGAAGAGAGACCAGCAAGACCCATACAAGGTAGAAGAGATGCTGGATGGGGATGGCTACTGCAGCCCACAGCAACCTTGCCCAGGCAAGGGAAGCACCTCCCAGCTCTTCTGCAAACACAGCGGCAAAGGGACTGGCTGCACCCAGTCCTCCTCAAGGCATGTCCCACAGAGATTCTCATGCAGACAAGCATCTCCTCAAGGTAAGTCTCCACCTTTGACTCCACCATACAGGGACAGGAACAGGGTGCTTCCCACAGAGCCCCCTCCCAAAAGCCCCTCCCTGGAGAGCACCTGAAGCCTACCTGGTACGAAGGCAGTGGAGTGTACTGGACCATGAGACCTTGCATTTGGCTCCCCATACTGCTCCTCTGGCTGCTGAGGAGGCCAGGGGGCTGCGCCTGCTGCACTCCCATCATACTCTGCATCTGGCCACCCATGCTGCTCCTCTGGCTGTTGAGGAGCCCAGGGGGCTGTGCCTGCTGCACTCCCATCACACCGTGGTATGTTTGCTGCTGGTTGGACATCATTGGCTGTAAACCTATCAGAACAGGGTTTAAATGGAACAGCTTCCCAGCTGGCCACAGGAGACAGCTTGAGACTTGGCATACGAGCTGCTCAAACCCTGCTTTGCCCAATCTCTTGCTAAGAAGTGGGAAAAGGGCTTCCCTTATGGCAGGTGTACAAAGACCTTAAGGAAGCTCCTAGCTTTAAATCCACCTTGTGGCACTTCAGTGAATGCTACACACCAAGAGGGAGGGAAAGGACTAGAACAGCCTTTGCAGCCAGGCCAAGTTTCTGCTTCCCTTTGCATAGACAAGAGTCAGCAAGTCCAGCAAAGAGCAGGAGACAAGGAAGAGCAGCCTGGCCCTAGATAGTGCATGGGAGATCCTGAAGAGCCAAAAAGAGCTGCAGGTAAGGAAAACATGCCCCTTGGCCCCCATTTCCCCTGCTTACCAGGCTGCTGGGACTGCTGGGGGAGCTGCTGAGTGCGCTGGGAGCTGTAGGCCACTGGGTGACTGAGAGATCGGTATTGCTGGCTGGAGTTCGGGTACTGCCCGGGAGGGTAGTAAGAAACCTGAATCTATCAGAACCAAGAAAACATGGTGGTGAGAACACAAGAGGGATGGGACCAAGAAGGCTGGTTCTCCAGGACCAGTTTCCTCTCTCACCTTCTGCTGAATGAAACCAACCAAGTGATGATAGCTCCTCAGGTAATCAGCCCCTTCCTGCTCCTCCCAGCCTCCACATCCAAGCCTTTCCCAGCCCAGCAGTGCACAGTAGGCACAACTCTCATCACACCCAGGGGGAACAATCTTAGAGGTTAGAATGCCCTGCAGGACCCCAAAGAGACCTTACAGGTGTCAGCCCTGAACTGGTCACTGAACCTATGAGCCAGGACTGGCCAAGGGGGTCCCCAGGTAAGTGCCTTGTGAACTCAGAGGGACAAAGAGGCAGAGATCATCCTGGTGTGTGCTGACCCCCAGCTGGGAGCCCTGTGGGCTGATCCATCACAAATGAGCAGCAGCAGAAGAGGAGACCCACTCTCAAGGAGCTGCTCCCCTGCAGCCCCTCGCCTCATAGAGGTGCACATCCCCTCCAGGCTTACGGGTGTTCTTACTTGCTGGGGAGGCTGAATGTAGCCCTGGGGCTGCAGCACCTGCTGTGTGGGGGCCGTGTGCCCTGAGGCGGAGTAGTTGGAGGTGGGAATGGGCTGCCCAGGGGTTGCCATGATGAATCCTGTCTGCTGAGGGTGCTGGGAGATGAGGGATGACTGGAACATAGCCGAGGAAGGATCCGGTGCTTCTGTAGAGCCTTGTCGGCTGAGGCTGATCTGCCCAAAGGGGTTGCTGAGCTCATCGGCCTGTATTGGGGATAAGTGGGAAGGATGGAGGAGGACAGCATGTAGGACAACAGCACGTAGGACACAGCTCTGCTGAGCAGATTGCAGACCCCTTCTCCCTACTCTGTGTGGAGGAGCTTGACCAAGAAAGGTCCCCAGAAATGAGCCACACACCAGGAGCACTCTGCAGGACAGGGGGTAGAGGCATGCGTGCTGCTTGCAGGGCTGAATGCTCAGCAGACACTGGCGACATGCAGGGCCCCACACAGGCAGGGGCTGCCCTAGCCCAGGGGCCGTGTCCTATGGGGCATGCCATTCCCAAATGAGACAACATGGGCTGACTCAGACCACAGGGCAGCCATGGTCCTTGGACCCCAGTGCTGGGCACAAGCATCACTTCTGGTGGAGCTTTGGCACTTGCTCTTGCCCAGGCTTTTTCCATGATCATCTGCTCCAGCAATGCCTGGCTCTGGTGGGTCCCACAGCCTCAGGCATCCCACTGCCTTGACCCCATGGTGGCACAGAGCTTCCATGAATCCCAAACCCACTGGGTGCAGTATCTGCAACGTACCTGGTTAGCAAAAGCTCACACAACACAAAACACAGCACACGGGTACAACAGAGAGTGCAGAAGAGGAAATGGGGTTTATACCAAGTTGTACTGCTGGGGTGGAGAGACTGGCAAGAGGACTTGGGGGCAGGAGCTTGGAGAATACTGAACAGGCTGCAGCGCTGGGACCGGCTGAGACCAGCAGAGAAGGGAGGAGAGTGGGACAAGGAGGGGAAGGAAGGATAGAAGGAAGGAGAGAAAGAAGGAACAACAAGGTTAGTCAACTGAGCCAACTGCAAACACACAGAGGGGGCATTGCAGAGGGTTGGAAAGCACGGAAACCAGCCCGGGGGAGCAATCATTTCTCTGTGAAGCCACACATCCCCACCCCTTGCTTTGTGGAGCTATGAAGGCTGATGCCTGTTGATGATGCCACCTAACTCAAGCACCACATACAATGCTTTGGGCACTGACTTGCAGGTGCACCAGGGGGACAGTGTGTTTTCACATCTTTCACCAACAGTCAAACACAGGGAAGTTTGTTCCTGAGCTATCAGAACAGCCCAACAGTAGAAGATACAAAGGAAAACCTCAGCAAGATGCAGTGATCCTGTATGAGCTCCAGAAGGTTTCTGGGTGTTCAAACCTCCCACCCAGAGCATGGTGCTCTGTCCCATGCCATGCTACAGCTCCAGACAACCCTGCTAGAGCACTGGACCCTGCCTACCCTGGGGAAACACCCCATCTGTAGAACAGATGTTTCCCTTGAGTCTTGGCATCCTTTGCAAACAGACCCACAACCCTAGAGCCAGTCCAGGGCCCAAGAACTACAAGCTCCCCCCTGGGCTGTTCTTTGGTTCTATGATCCTCATAAAGATGGCAATGGGCAGCATGTATGTTCATGTTATCTGCAGCAAAAGCTGTTCAAGGAGGCTTGTTTCCTTCTCCTGGCCCACTGAAAAAACCTTAGAATCACAGGAGAGCCCAGGTTGGAAGGGACCTCAGAAGAGCCTCAGGAACAGAACAAAGTACACAGGAACAAGGGATCCATCCTCAGGATTAGCCCTGTAGGTTGTGGAATGTCACTTGGGTTTAACTCAGGGAGGGTCTGGAGAATACCAGACCCAGGCACAACTCCAGGTCTGCCTCTTCCCAGGACATGAGGTGCCCACTGGAAAAGCTCAAACCCAGCTTCTGTTTGTGATGGTCCCTCACCAGGATGACAAATGGTTCCAGAATGTGACCCCACCACTCAGTAAAAGGCTACAGATCCCCTGCCAGGAGAGCTGCTGGCCTGAGCAGATACAGAGGAGGCTGGCAAATGAGGTGTCACACGGCATCATCCACAGGCACAGCAAGGCCCCATAACGGAGTAACTATCGCTCCCTAACAGGCAGCAAGTGTGAAGATACCCAAGACCCACTGGGCAAATGCAAATCCAGAGCATCCTGGCTCTGCTTCTACCTCCCTGGGTGCCCGAGGAGCTCATGGAGTCCCTGGATCCTGTGCAGCAACTCACCTGGGATATCATGTGGTTGCTCATGGCTGGCTGCTGCTGGGCTGCAGGTGGAAGTCCCTGGGGCTGTGGTGGTGGCTGCTGGGGTGGCTGTGGTTGAGGCTGTTGGGCTGTGCAGGGCAGGAGGCCACGGCTGGGCTGTGAAGAGGGGGATTGGCTGCATGCTTCAGGGGCACCTAGTACCAGACCTTGAACAGAGAAAGGCATGGCAGGGTTGGTACCTGAGAGAGAAAAACATGGGTTTGTTGATGGGGATCTAGATCTTGTCACTGCCTCCTGCACTGCAGCCAGATAGTCTCTGCTGTCCACGTGGTAGCTTCCACAGGGGACAGGGTGAGCAGGCTGCAGGCTAAGTCAGTTTGCCTCTCTTCACAGCAAACCAAGGTGCTGACACCCTCAGCACTCCAGATTATGGCACCTCTCTCCTCTCCATGTCTGTGTAGAGCTCCACAGCTGCTCACAGCATCTCCTCCCCCTGCCCCACATAGGGAATGTGACCAGCATGCAATCACTATCCCAGACTACAGCCGTGACTTGTATAGCTGGTATTCCCAAGAGCGTGCTCTCTTCCCTGACCCCAGCTTAGCACCCACATTCCACATGGGGACACAGCAGTCCCCACCTGTAGGCCACAGGTCTTCCACTGGGCAGAGGAATCTGATGTTAACAGCAGCCCCTGCCTGATGGAGTGCTCTCCACCTCAGCACGAGGCTGAGATTACAGTCTGGGATGCTACCAGACACTCTCATGTCAGCTCAGTCCCACAGACAGCTCAGCTGTGGGGAGAAGCTGAGCTGTTCCCAGTCACAGCTCACTTCTGTGGCTCAGACACTAACTACATTGTCATGACCTGCTCAAGTGCTTGCCCTGAACAGAGAATTCTATGTTATGGCCTCACAGCCTCACTGGACGCACATCTTTTGAGTACAAGCCTAGGAGGTGGAAGGCTGGAAGCAATTCCTTCCCATGGGAGGAAAACTGCTCTGGCAGGAGTGCAATACATGCTGCAGGGCACCCAGCTGGGAAGTGCTCTCCTCACTATTTCAGTCTCACTTCCAGAAATAAAAGGGCTGTGAAACTATTGCTTGATGCCCAGTAGCTGCTATTTAATGAATTCTGCTTCCGATCTACTGCATTGCAACAGCTCATCTTCAGGCATTCTGCTAAGGAAGCCACATGGTG